ACCGGAGATGCGTATGTTATCATGGGTTTAACCACCATCATGTATAACCAATGTACCATGTCTGGTTTTAGCCCCCATGTTTTTCAATAGGTGCGTCTGGCGAGTATCAGTGCTCCTTTTTATCCTGTCCAAGTGTTGGTTTCAGGTCAGTTTGGAATCTAGCATTACTCCCAGATATTCAACCTCCCCCGACACTTGTATTTCTTCACCTCGAAGTTTTAGAGGTTCGAGACCTTCCGTTTTAGTCCTCTTGGTGAATGCTACTATGGTCGATTTGGATGGTCTTATGTTAAGCCCTTCTTCTTCGGTCCATCTTATTAGCCCAGTGCTTTATACTCAGTGTGGTCTAGGAGAAATAATAGCTCGTCCATTACAAGGTTCCATAACAGAGGGGATATGTTTTTCTGTTAATACCACGTTGATCAGCAAAAAAAGTACATCTGATTCGAATTCGTATCTGCAATAATAAAATAGTTAGCAACAGTGTCGACTTGACTTTGATTACACTCTGTATATCTACAGCCCCGTGCGTTCAGAAAATGTAGATAAAATTCACCAGCAGAAACGATAACTACCTAAACAGTACCCACTCAACATGTTATCAGATATCATCCATCCATGAGAATTCTCGCTAATCCAATGTAACTCCTGAAGATTAATGATGTTATATCTACGTTTACAGAGATTCTGTTAACTTGACAATGTTTGATAAAGTCGTATTAAATGGGAAATTAAATTATTTGGGAAACAAATAATCTCAACTCCGGCAAAATTCAAAAGTTCGATACACTCAAAAATTTCAAAGGGTTTGTAAGAGAGGAGTAAGACTGAAAATGGAAGAAGCATTACAAATTCGACAAGAAGGAGGTGACACTTGAATGTTAAAAATCAATGGGAAAAATATAAAGTTTCTTCGGAAAATGGAGTCAACTGGTCTGCAACGAAATCCTCCTCCTACGAAAAATTACATTGTAAATATGAAGATTTAAATGCTTTGAATTTGTTCCCGTTGGTCGACTGTTTTTATCACGTCTAGATTTTGTGATATGATTATTTTCGACATATCATGAATTTTAGTTTTTTGAATTAGTTGTAAACGTAAATATTATGAAAAGCTTGAATTGAAAGTAGCATATTTTTAGGAGAGATTAATTTTTGTGAAAGAGAGGTTTCGGCTTTCTAGTTCTCCACCTTTTCATACAAATAAAATGGGAATCTCCCACTTTTTTTTTAATTAAGATGATAGAGTGTCCCCAATTCCTCCGTAACGAATATAACTCTGTACATATCAGAAATACGGGACGGACTGTGGCTGTTCATCGTTTCCTGAGAACGCTATATAAAAACACCACAAGAAATACAATCCGATGTAGTGTACGAATCGAACTGTACAAGCTGTCACAAATGCTATGTTGGTCAAACCGGACGGTATCTTAGAACACGAGTTTCAGAACACATGAGAGACTCTGAGAAACTGAATATAAAATCCCCACAGCTCTCGTTAAACATACTGCATATTTCAATTTGATAAGTGAAATACCGGAATAATGTATCCTTTTTTCAATCTTTTTCATTCTGCCATTGATTAAAAAACAGACACCACCTTATCAGAATCACAGATAAAGACAATCGTTTGTTTCATGTCGTTTTGTGTTGGTGTTGTCTCGGAAATGTTGGTTGCTTTGCAGTGTTTTTTATTTTTATTTTTAAAATAGTAATATTATCAACAAGAAAAGACTATTTTTCGGTGAGTAATTTAATTAGGAACTCATTATTTCTTGTGGAATTGAAACGATAATGATCGTACAAGTTTTGTGGAAGGTATGTTTATGAAAATTCATTGTTACAGATCCCTGAAGAAGAATTTAATCAAATTCAAAACTTCGGCAAGAAAACAATTGTTTTTTGAAGAAAAAAATGATTTTTACCCAACCAACCTTTTAAAAAAAAATTGGATCACTAAACTATCAACGTATTAGTTTCGAATGATTTTTATTTTCTAGTTCTCGTTGCTATTGAAGCGTATTTTTTTAGTTTTTTGAACTATTACTTATTTTCCACTTAAGTTTGTCCTGCTATTTCAAGCCCATTTATTTTAATATAGAATATATACGCATGCGCAGACAGTGTGGTTGTCTCACTTGCTCTCACACAGAGACTGTGTGAGGAGCCAAAAAAAGCGTGTTAATTAAAAAATCCAACATTCATATATTGAATACCAGGCAAAAAAATTATATTTACATTCCATATGCGACACTCCATATTACATCAAATTCTCCTGTATTGGTCCTGGAATATATAACCAACTTCCCGAAATTATTAAAGCAACGAAGGCATTATTTTTGTTTCAAAAAAATCTTTAAATGACTTTGTCATAGAAAAATGTTTTTGAAGGGGGGTTTTGATATTGAATTGTGTTTACCTATTGAATGTATTTTCATGTACATACTTTTTTTGTGACAACTTGTTTTTGTAGTATTTTTGTTTTGTTTTGTATGTATTTCATTTATTTTATTTTTATACATTCTATATTTCAAATGAAAAATTAAATATAGCATGAATAGGGTTAGCTCCCCATTAGTTTCTAGTTTTAATCTTCCTCTTTGAAGATGATCACTTGGTGATCGAAACACGTGTCTTCTTTCCGTTCCATTGCGAGTTCTAATAAACGTTGGACATCAGAAATTTCATATGTCACGTTTTCACGAGCTACGTAACCCTAAATTTGAGCCCAGATTAATTCTATCGGGTTTAACTCGGCCTTAACCATGTCCGCGGAAAATGGAATTCCTTTTTGTCCTAACCAACTCTGCATGTCTGCTTTTCTAGTGGTCATAGTTGGCAGCTGTTCTACTAATCGGCTGTGATAAGAAACGTTATCCATTACTATTACCTACCGAATTTGGCTCGACTCGTAAAAGAAGGGATTCAAACCATCCTTCTAAGCGTTGGGCGTCCATGCCTTCGTGATAATCCCCCGTTTTTTTGGACAAAAAAAAGTGCACTATCGTCTAAAAAGCCACTCTCGCTACCTATATGGGCGACAATTAGTCGTTGCCCTTTACCCGTTGGTCCGCATAACCCTGTTGATAAACCGTCCACAAGTGCTTGACGATAACTAATATCTTGCCAGATCTTAGATACTGTGTGACCAGCATTCACCCACGTTTCGTCCAGATAATAAATCTTTTTGTGAGCAGAACGCATTTCTTCAATAGAGCGAAGATATCTCCGTCGCCATGAGACTATATCTTCTCTTTCTATTAAGACAGATTTACGGGATCGTTTGGCATATATACATTTTAAATCTTTAAATCTATTTAATAAATACAGGGTGTCCCTGGACTTCCTCTTTTCCTCTCGGGAATGTATAGATGGGGTCAAAATATCACCAGTACTTCATATAACTTTTTTTCCTAAAAGTCTTCGTAACCAAGTTACGGGCCCTCGAAGTTACAAAATGAAAAATGTTTTTCTTTGATAACTTTTCAAGTGAATATTCAAAATCATCCAAATTTTGGTAATTGACTAAACAAATGAATTCCTTCGATGAGCTTTCATG